ATAAAAATATCTTCATAAACTATAAAATTATTTATATCAAACTACAGTATATATACCAACATATAAAACAAAATACTTTATAGTAGACTCTTATCCTAACCAGCCTATCCAGGATAACTGTTCAAGTATACAAGGAGGAAAGATTGTTGCATGGGATACTGAAACTATAAATAATCTATGAAAATCATATACCATATATCAAACTACAGAGTATACTACATACTACATCATGCAAACCTGTGTAATCCACAGCAAGAGTAACAGGACAAGTTTTGCTTGGATTGCAAGCAATCTCTGTAGAAAATGGTTCCATGGGTCATGTATGAACCTTAAGCAATCAACCACTATTGATATTAAATCAGGAAAATGTTTTTGGTTCTTCCCAAGCGAGATACAACTGTGGGAGAAAATTACATCTATACTAAAAGACAGGAACACCAACAAAAAATCCTTCATAGAAGACATGAGTCTTAAATAACAGCCGGGAAAAATAAAAGAAGTCTGGCTGTCACCTGTTGGGCTAGTGCTGTCTTGTAAGAATACAGACATGAAAGACAGTCGACCAGATAGTGCTGGTGCTGTCCTGGAAGACAGATGGAGATAGTGGCCCTGGTAATGAAACAGGTAAAGACAGTGTTATACAAACTCCAGAGGTACAAAGTAGCAATATTCCTGAAGACGGAATAAAAGGGGACGATGCTTCATGGAATATTGTTGATATATTACCAGAAAAAGCTGGTGGAAGCCCTGATGTTAGTACAATGGCTGTAGGCAGTGGGAACACAGAAAAAAATCACCAATAGAGAACACAGCCACAAAAAATCCTGACAAACAGAAATCAGATCTATACAAATTCTATGTCTTGAGTATCTACATGCATGGAATATCTGGAAAAACAGGTGGGACATGCAATTTTGAATATCCCACAAAAATACCGCACACACCTGACAGCAAGACAATGCAGCTCCTCTTGTAACCTATTTCACCCAGAAATGTGTCACTCGTCAGTCCATGAAAAACAATGCTACAACATATATTGTCAGGCACACCAATTAAAGGGGACAAGAAGATACAGATCATCCAAACTGTGGAAAGAAACCAGAGAAGTAACAACCACTCCAGAGACATTTTTTTTAGTGCCAGGAGAAAAAGGAAACTGGTAAGAAATGACAAAAATCATACACCAACTCACAACCCTTCTGGAGCAGAGGCACAGCATTAATATCTACAACAACAGATATTAATGCCATCAAACAAAGCCCATCCTGTACACCATCAATATAACAACATTTACATTTACAAACATACAGGGTCTAAAGCCATCAACAAAAAACAAAATGCCTTTCATTGAGGGACTGCTCACAGAGTCTGGAGTTTACCTGGAGAGAGTTCCGGGGGTCAACGCCCCCGCGGCCCGGTCTGTGACCAGGCCTCCTGGTGGATCAGAGCCTGATCAACCAGGCTGTTGCTGCTGGCTGCACGCAAACCAACGTACGAGCCACAGCCGGGCTGATCAGGAACTGACTTTAGGTGCTTGTCCAGTGCCAGCTTGAAGACTGCCAGGGGTCTGTTGGTAATCCCCCTTATGTGTGCTGGGAGGCAGTTGAACAGTCTCGGGCCCCTGACACTTATTGTATGGTCTCTTAACGTGCTAGTGACACCCCTGCTTTTCATTGGGGGGATGGTGCATCGTCTGCCAAGTCTTTTGCTTTCGTAGTGAGTGATTTTCGTGTGCAAGTTCGGTACTAGTCCCTCTAGGATTTTCCAGGTGTATATAATCATGTATCTCTCCCGCCTGCATTCCAGGGAATACAGGTTTAGGAACCTCAAGCGCTCCCAGTAATTGAGGTGTTTTATCAAATGCTATGTTTGCAGTCTTCACAGAGACCCACATAAAGGATCGCTTTGACAATGAAATATGGATCCCAGGTTATAACCTATTCAGATGCGAGAGAGAAAGCAGGCAACAAGGGAAGGGGGGTTGGCCTGTATGTCACAGAGCGGCTCATTTGCTTGGAACTACTAAACACTTCAAACAATGTAGTTGACGTTTTTGCAGTAAAGATCGAAAACCAAAACCTTGTCACTGTGGTTGTATACAAGCCATTGGATGCTGCTTCCCAACAATACCAGGAACAGCTCTTCAAAATTGACCACTGTCTGGAAAATCTCCCAACTCCTTCCCAAACATCTTGATGCTGGGTGATTTCAACCTAAGACACTTAAAGTGGAGGTGAGTAGGAAGCAGCTCAGATGAAGATTCACAAACATGACCTATTAAATCTCTGCAGCAAATTCACTTTTAACTAGTTAATAATAGAGCCAACAAGACTGGAAAATACACTAGAAATCATCTTCACCAGCAATGCCTTCAGCATCCTATGGAGAGGGAGCATGGACACAAGAGTCATCCCACACTCATTAAAAACAACAGACATAGCCCTAATCTACAAAGGTGGCAGCAAAGCAATTGTAAAGAACTACAGACCGATAGCACTAACATACAATATCATAAAAATCTTTGAAAAGGTTTTAAGAGGCAAGATAGCCAACCACCTAGATTATCCATCAATTACACAACCCAGGGCAACACGGGTTTAGAGCAGGTCGCTCCTGCCTGTCCCAGATACTGGACCACCATGACAAGGTCCTGGATAAACAAAATGCAGATGTAGTATACACAAACTTTACAAAAGCCTTCGACGTGTGCGACCACGGTGTAATAGTGCACAAAATACGTGATAAAGGAATATCAGGAAAAGTTGGCAGATGGGTCAATAACTTCCTAACAAACAGAACACAAAAAGTTCTAGTAAAAAGAGTATAGTCTGAGGCAGCTACGGTGAAAAGCTGCGTTCCAGATGGCACAGTACTCCCTCTCATCCTATTCCTCATCCTCATATCTGACATAGAGATGTAACCCATAGCTCCGTGCCTTCCTTTGACATCCGAATTACCATGACAGTGTCGTCCATCAAAGACACCGCAAGACTCCAAGCAGACATCAAACAAATTTTCAAATAGGCCACTCAAAACAATATGAAGTTCACTGAAGAGAAATTTCAACTACTCAGATATGGAAAATTTGAGGAAATTAAAACTGTATCAGGGTATACAACAAATTCTAACCATACAATAGAGCGAAAAAGTAAAGTGAAAGACCTGGGAGTGATAGTGTCAGAGGATCTCACCTTCAAAGACCACAAAAATGTAACTATAAATTTGCAAAAAAAAATAAAGGTAAAATAATAAGAATCTTCAAAATTTGTGAATAAAAAACCCATGATAATTTTTTTAAAAATTTTGCTTGTTCTCTCTAGGCTGGAAAAACTCCCTTTTACGCTAACGCCCCTTTAAAGGGAAAAAAGCAAAAATTGTTTGCCCTGGGGGTATAAAAAAAACTTTAAAGGCACCATAAGTATGTTTAAGCAAAAATTACGGGGGAAAGGGTTTTGGCAGTCCCCTTTGTTTTGTTTTCCCTTTGGGAAATGCGGGCCCCGGGGAGATACATGTTAATTTTAACACGGGGAAACCTCCTAGAGGGATTAGTCCCCAAACATCACACAAAAAATCACTCCCTATGAAAAAAAAAAGATTCAGGGAAGAGATGCAACATTCCCCCAAATAAATGGCCCCCGGTGCCAAAAATTTACATTGAGAGACAAAACTTTAAGTGTTGGGGCCCAAAAAAAATGTTAAAACCTGCCCCAAGCTACTTTTGGGAAAAGATTCCCAGAAGCCCCCTGGCTGCCCTTTCAAGAAGGGGGGCTGGACGGGAATAAAACTCGTCCCTAACCAGGGGGGCTGGGTTCGTATGAAAAGTTTACGTGGGGCCCCAGGGGGAAACAGTTTGGTTATCAGAGGGAAATTCCACCACGAGGCTGATTTCAACTGGGCAGGGGGAGCTTTGGGACCCCGAAACCCTCCCCTGGTTACTCCAGGTATAAAAGGGAAAATTCACTCAGCCACAACATAAAGAGGAAAAGACGTGTATCCCTCCTGACCAGCAGTAGGGGCCACCCCCAAAACATCTCCACTTTATAAAAGTTAAGAAAAGATAAGATAAGAAAAAGGATTTCGTTCGGTTTTTTAATCTCGGGGGGGTTAGCCACCGGAAAAACCCAAAAAAGTCAGTGCGTCATCGGGGGACGTCTAACTTATTCCCATTTGGGGTCCTCAATCTTGTCCCCAGGATGGGGGACCACACCAGTCGACTAACACCCAGATACCTATTTGCTGCAAAGGGGAAAAAAGGGCAACAGGTGTAAGGAAAAGGTTTTTCGAAAAAGTTTCCCCCCGCCGGGGAATCGAAACCCCGGGGCCCCCCCGTGTGTTGAACGGGGCTTTAGCCACCCCGGCCACCGGATTTCAAGGAATAACATCCCCGAAGTTTTAGGAAAATGTATTCCCCCATTTTTGACCCTTCTTAGGGTTTTTGATAGATTAAATCATCCTGCATTATAACTTTAAAAAAACATTTAATTGTTCCCCAAAAATTACTTGTTTCTCCTATAACCATAATACCAAATTTTGTGTTTTTTTAAATTTTTGGGAAACTGAGAAAGTACAAGAAAAAGTTTTTCTCGGTTTTTTAAAAAGGAAAGAATATAATTTATTTTTTTTTTGTAAGTTATTCAATCTGTTTTCTGCTTTTTTTACCCGCGGGTCATTTTTTTTTTTGGAAAAAATCTCCGTGAAATGCGGTTGTCTATATTATGTGTAAATGTGTAGGAAAATTGTGAACCTGTTAGAAGTATTCAAGTGTTGCATTACCTCTGGTGACGATAATTAAAATCTCTCCTTGGAAATTAATGGATTTTTAGAGTTTCTGTAGGAATATTAAGCCTCATTTGTGATGGAGTAAGGCAGGAATACCATGAGTGTGTAAGGTAAATAAAGTCAGGTTCTCGTATAAACATGTGAAGTGTCATACAGTTAAGGGTAGCCACACAGTGTACCTGTTTCTAGGTTTGTAAACAAAACGATGAACGGATACGTACCTTTTTGCCAAAGTATCTTTCGACGACCTTGACGTAGAACTTCCAAACTCCGGTGCCCCTCCAGCCTCCGATGTTGTCAATTGTGATATTATAGGGCAGAGTGGAGGGAGGGAAGACCCGGCTGCCACCACCCTGCTTCACCCACTCCAGCAGCCGGTTGTCAGTAGGGTGTAGCGGCCCATCAAGTAGCACCTCCACCACACCTGCCGTGAGCCTAACTCAGTTCTTGTACAATAAAAGAAAATCTTAAATTAAACAAAAGTATTCCCTGAACTTATACAACTTTTTTAATGAGAACGATGGTGTAACAGAGCAAAAAATGCGTGATAAAGGAATAACAGGAAAAGTTGGTAAATAGATTTATAATTTCCTAACAAAAAGAACACAAAGACTAGTAGTCAACAGAGTAAAGTCTGAGGCGGCTACGGTGAAAAGCTTTGATTCACAAGGCACAGTACTCGCCCTCATCTTGTTCCTCATCCTCATATCTGACATAGACAGTGATGTAAGCCACAGCACAGTGTCTTCCATCGAAGACACTGCAACACTCCAGGCGGACATCAACCAAATCTTTCAGTGGGCTGCAGAAAACAATATGAAGTTCAGTGATGAGAAATTTCAATTACTCCGATATGGAAAACGTGAGGAAATTAAAACTTCAACGGAGTATAAAACAAACTCCAGCCACACAATAGAGCGAAAAATTAATGTCAAAGACCTGGGAGTGATCATGTCGGAGGATCTCACCTTCAAGGACCATAACATTGTATCAATCGCATCTGCTAGAAAATTGACAGGATGGATAATGAGAACCTTCAAAACCAGGGATGCCAAGCCCATGATGGCACTCTTCAGGTCACTTGTTCTATCTAGGCTGGAATATTGCTGCATTCTAACAGCACCTTTCAAGGCAGGTGAAATTGCTGACCTAGAAAATGTACAGAGAATCTTCACGGCGCGCATAACTGAGACAAAACACCTCAGTTACTGGGAATGATTGAAGTTCCTAAACCTGTATTCCCTGGAACGCAGGCGGGAGAGATACATGATTATATACACTTGGAAAATCCTAGAGGGATTAGTACCAAACTTGCACACGAAAATCACTCTCTACGATAACAAAAGACTCGGCAGACGATGCAACATCCCCACAATAAAAAGCAGGGGCGCCACTAGCACGATAAGAGACAACGCAATAAGTGTCCGGGGCCCAAGACTGTTCAACTTTCTCCCAGCATAAATAAAGGAGATTACCGATAGAACCCTGGCTGTCTTCAAACAATCACTAGACAAGCACCTAGAGTCAGTACCTGGCCAGCCGGGCTGAGGCTCGTAAGTTGGATTGCGTGCGGCCAGCAGTAACAGCCTGCTTGATCAGGCCCTGACCGATCATGAGGCCTGCTCACAGACCTGGCCGAGGGACGTTGACCCTCAGAACTCCTTCCAGGTATACTCTCCATAACCCACTGAAAATAATGAATAATAGTAGATTATATTTTTATATTACCACTGAAAGAAATTTTACATTGGGGAAATTTATTCCACTGTAGAAATACCCACCACTGTAGCAATATCCCCACTTTTAGAAATATAACAGATAAGACGATTTTACCACGTAGCAATATAACAGATGGGAATATTACCACTGTAGCAATATTCCCAACTGTGCAAATTCCACTGTTTAGCAATATCACCACTGGCAATAAAAAAAGATAAGACGTATTACCACTGTAGAATAAAAACAGATGGGACGTATTACCACTGAAAAAAATAAAAACAGATGGGACGATTTTAAACCACTGTAGCAATTTTAAATGACGGGACGATATTACCATGTAGAAAATATAAAAAGACGGGACGTTTATTAACCACTTTTGCAATATAAAGATGGGACGTTTATTACCACTGTGCAAAAATTACCATTTGTAGAAAATATCCCCACTGTGAAAAATATCACCACTTTTAGCAATTATAAAGAAAAAGCGATTTCCCATTTGTGCAAAAATAAAAATGGGGAGGGATATTACCCTGTGAAAATTTCCCACTGAAAGCAATTTTACCACTGTGGGCAATATCACCCTTTTAGCAATATAACAGTTTAAGAGGGAATTTTTCCATTGTAGAAATATAACGGGATGGGGCGATATTACCACTGTAGCAATAAAAAGATGGGCGATATTCCCCACTGTAGCAATAAAAAATGACGGGCCGTATTACCACTGTAGCAATATAAAAAGAGGGGCAAATTTCCCCTTGTAGCAATATAACGATGGGACGTTATTACCACGTAGAAATATTACCACTGTAGAAATTTTACCACTGGCAATATTCCCACTGTAGAAATTTTAAAAACAGAGGGGACGATATTACCACTGAGAAATAAAAGGGGAAACGTTATTACCACTGTAGCAACTAACAGAGGGAAAAACGATATTACCACTGTAGAATATAACGTTTGGGACGATATTACCACTGTGCAATATAACGATGGGAGTTTATTCCCAAATGTAGCAATATAACAGATGGGACGATATTCCCAACTGTAGCAATTAACAGTGGGAAAATTTACTTACTGTAGAAATATAACAGGGGGGACGAAAATTACACTGTAGAAATTTATAACAGATGGGACGATAGTACCACTGTAGAATAAAAAACAGATGGGACGATATTACCACTGTAGCAATAAAAACAGTGGGGACGATATTACCACTGTGAAATTTATAAAAGAGGGGAAAGGATTATTACCCTGTAGAATATAACGAGGGACAAATTTTCCCCCCAAAACTGTAGAAATTAACAGACGGGACGAAAATTACCACTGTACCCAATATAACAGAGGGGAACGATATTTCCCCAACTGTGCAATAAAACAGATGGGACGACTTACCCTGTAGCAATAAAACGGGGGACGCCCATTCCCTGTACCCAATATAACAGGGGGGACGACATTACCACTGTAGAAATTAAAACGAGGGGGGACGACATTACCACTGTAGCTTTATAACAGAGGGGGGACGTATTCCCATTTTACCCAATAAAAACGGATGGGAGACGTATTACCATTGTAGAAATAAAAACAGATGGGACATATTACCACTGTACCCTTTATAACGGGATGGTGAAGTTTCAGTACTGGAGGGGGTCAGTATAGCGAATGTATAGTACTGGGGTGTTTCAGTACTAAAAAAGGTTTTCACTGCTGGAAAGGGTTTTAGTACCGGGGGAAGGGTTTGCGGGTTATTTGGTGAAGGTTCAAAACTGGTGAAGGTTTAGTACTGGGGGAAGGTTCGGTACTGGGGGAAGGGTTTCAATACGGGTTTGGGTTTTCATTTACTGGTGAAGGTTCGGTATGGGAATTTTTCGGACGGGTTTGAAGGTTGTATGGTAAAAGGTTTTCGGTTACTGGAAAAGGTTCAGTACTGGTGAAAGTTCGTACTGGTAAAGGGGTTGGGTTTACTGGAAAAGGGTTTTCGTACTGGTAAAGGGGCCCAGTCCCGGTGAAGGTTCGGTACTGGGAGAAGGTTCATTACTGGTAAAGGTTCAGAAACTGGTGAAGGTTGGGTACTGGAGAAGGTTCAGTACTGGTGAAAGTTCGGGTATGGTGAAGGTTGGGGTACGGGGAAGGGTTCAGTACTGGTGAAGGTTCAGTATGGTAAAGGTTTCGGTAATGGAGGGGTTTTCAGTACTGGTGAAGGTTTAGTACGGGTAAAGGTTCATTACTGGAAAAGGTTAAGTATGGTGAAGGTTCAGTATTTGGGGAAGGTTCTGAAAAGGTTTAAGGGGTTTCGGGAACTGAGGGAGGTTTAATACTGAACAAGGTTCAGTTTTGGTGGGGTTTTCATTTCTTGGTGAAGGTTCAGTACTGGTGAAGGTTTCCCAGTACGGGGTTAAAGGCAGTATGGGAAGGTTCAGTACTGGTAAAGGTTCAGTATTTTTTTAAAGGGTTTTAGTATGGAGAAGCGCCCGTACGGGTTAATGTTCTGTAAGGTGAAGGTTCGTACGGGGGAAGTTTCAGTAGGGTTTAAGGTCAGAAATGGTGAAGGTTCAGTACTGGTGAAGGTTCAGTACTAGTAAAGGGTTTCCCCGTATGGTAAATTTTCAGTATGGTGAAGGTTCTGTAATGATGAAGGTTCAGTACTGGAAAAAGGGGTTCAGTATAGTTGAAGGTTTGTACTTGTGGGGTTCATTGTTAGAAAAGGGTTTCGTATGGAAAAGGGGTTCATTTACGGGTTGAATTTTTGTATTTGTAAAGGGCCCATTGCTGGGAAAAGGGTTTCCCAGTACGGGTTTGAAGGTTCGTAATTTTAAAAGGGTTTCCCAGTACTGGAAAAGGATCAGAACGGTTTGAGGTTTTTAAGGGAAAAGGGTTTCATTTATAGATGAATTTCTGAAATTGAAAAGCTTCAGAAATGGTGAAGGTTCTGTAATGGGAAGGTTTCATTTTTTTGGTAAAGTTCAAAAAGGTAGTGAAGGTTCAGTATGTTGAAGGTTTAGTACTGGGGGAAGCTTCAGTAAGGTAAAGGTTATTTCTAATGAAGGTTCAGTACTGGTGAAGGTTCATTGAATTAAAGGTTTTGCAGTGTGGTGATGGGTTCCGTATGGTGAAGGTTCAGTTTTGGAGAAAGTTCGTTCTGGTGAAGGTTTAGTACTAGTGAAGGTTCATTACTGGGGGAAGGTTTTTCGTACTGGTGTTTTTCTGTTTTGGGTTTAAAAGGTTTCCCAGTACTGGTGAAGGTTAAAGTACGGGTAAAGGTTTAGAACTGGAGAAGCTTCAGCACAGGTAAAGGGTTTTCATTTAATGGTAAAAGGGTTCAGTAGGTAAAGGGTTTCAGACTGGTAAAGGTTCAGTTCCGCTAAAGGGTTCAAAACTGGTAAAAATTTGTATGGAGAAGGTTCATTTTATGGTAAAGGTTTTCAGTGCTTGTAAAGGGTCAGTCCTGGGGGAAAGTTCAGTACGGGTTTAAAGGGTTTTTCGTACGGGGAAAGGGTTTCCATAGTAGTAAAGGGTTCAGAAATGGTGAAGGTTCAGCATGGGAAGGCCAGTCCCTGGTGAAGGCTCTGTAATGGTGAAGGTTAAAATGGAAAAGGTTCAGTAAGGGTTTTAAAAAAAAGGTTTAGTGCTGGTAAAGGTTCAGTACGGGGGGAAGGTACAGAAAGGGGGAAAAAGGTTCAGTATTCCGGGAATTTTTAGTACTAAAAA